GAGCAGTGTGCAGCCAATAGCTAGCAAAAATGGGAACCTCAGTCCTACAACTGCAAGAGATTGATTTTTGTCAACAACATGGAAGAACATGGCAGACCTTGAGGTTCAGATGAGAGTGCCTTAATCACAGCCTGTGAGACCCTCAGTGGAGCATTCAGCTCAGCTCTGCCTGACTTCTGACTCATGGAAATGATGAGATAATTGTTTTGGTTTTAGTTGCTAAGGTTTAAAAAATTTGTTTTGCAGCATAGAAACTAAAAACAATAATCTTGAGATTATTGAACTGAGCCTTTTTAAAATTTGCAAAATAGGGATCATAGTTCTGTATTGAAAAATTATGTGACTAAATGAAATGTTGGTGAAAAGTACCTGGAAATCAGCAGGTAGTCAGATGTGTTGGTTTGCCAGGTTGGGCAGGCATTGCTTCTTGCACCTGGTTCTGGGGATGGTCACCATCGAGAGTGGTTTTTGTGTCTCTGGGAAGAGATCTCTTACCACCCCTAGGACCTTGTAGTCTATATGTGTGCTGTATAGAACTCAAGTCAACTCAACCTAGGACACAGTGATACAACCACAAACAACTGAATTTTAGTTTGTGTTCTGTTGAACAAATATTATTGTAATCTGCCTAAAGTTGTTAGAATTATAAATTTTGATTATGGTCCAAACATGAAAGCATGTCCTTTGAACAATGTTCTTTAAAATCCGGTGGGGTGGGCCAGGGATGTAGCTCAGTGGTTCCGGTGCCTGCCTCCCAAGCGGAAGGACCCGAGTTTGATCCCCGGTACCAGAAAAAAAAAAAAAATCTGGTGGGTTGGAAAAAGGGAAGTCAATTTCAAGACTTAAAACAGTAACAGTTGAAATACAGATAAATTTCAGCTGATTTGTATTTGATTATTAACTTGTATTTATGTGAATAACCAGCCATATTGTTTAGAAAGTCAATGAAAGATTTGTTTTTAATGAGTCTCAAACTTAAAATGTGCATGTGCTAATATAATGAGCCTTTTTTCTGTGATCATCTAAGAAAGAGTTGCCAGCGTTTTATTCTTACCATCCTGAAATACTTTAGCATGTATTTCTTATATAGCCGCAGTATAACTGTCCAAATTGGGAAATTAACACTTGTTACATTCCTGCTATCTGTCTAATCCTTGGCTTCTATTCAAGTTTTCCCAACTGTGCCCTCATAGAACAGGATTCAGTTCAGGAACAGACTTTGCATTTAGTTGTTATGTCTTTAGTCTCTGTGAAGAATTGTTCCTTGGTCCTTCCTAAATTGTCATGATCATAATGCTTTTGAAGATTTGGGTCAGTTATTTTGCAGAATGTTCTTTGCTCTTGGTTTGTCTGATGCTTCCTTATCATTAGACTCAGCTTACACATTATTGGCAGGAATATCACAGAACTATGCTCTTCTCATTAGCTCTGTTCATGTGATTCATGATTTTAATTTGTCCTAGATGTTGGCTATCTTCTATTCCGTAAAAGTATTCTTTTTTTCCCTTTAGTAATTAATGAGTATTTTTGTTGGGAACTCCTTTGAGACTATGTAAATATCCTACTCCTCATTAAACTTGCAGTAAATTAACTTACATCAATATAACTTATGGCTTCCTATTTTGTGCAAAGGGTTGCTGTCTTTAGTATCATTATTTGTTTGATGTCTACATGTCAGTAGGAGATGGCCAGTGGAAGCCATCTGGCTCTATTTTTTGACATGTTCCTGTTATTCTTTGGGCACTGTTTTACTTGCTGGCAGATGTTTCAGGCTTAGCTTGTACATTTCCCGCCTCAGTCCTGGAATGAGCTGTTTCTCCATGGAGGCTGCTTAGTGGAGAATGGTATTTTTTTTTTTTTGAGACAAGGTGTCATGTAGTACAGACTGGCCTTGAACTCATTGTGATCCTCCCACCTCGGTCTCCCAAGTGCAGGATCACAGGTGTGCAACATCCCACCCGGCCAAGAGTAGTCTTTCTAAACCAAGATCTGAGTGATAGTTTTTTCATTGCTCCTGTAATGTTCCTGTGCCTAGGTCCACTCAGGGGTCAAAGTTAGGAAATATCTTTATACATGTATACATATATTTAAATATGCACACATACATACATGTTTCTATGTTTCCATATCTATGTATTGAAAACACCAGTATCATTGATTCTAATTGAATACCAAAAGTAGTTTTTTCCTTTTCTGTATTTGTGTCTCATTTCTCTAACATATGAGGAACTTGGTTCCTATTATTTTTACTTCTACATAACGAATTTTTTTTCTGTGGCTGCCACTGTCCCTTCTTTAGGTGGACACACTCTTCACTGGGGATTCAACACCCCACCACGGGGTCCACCCCACATAGGAGACGTCTGCACACTGCTCAGGGTCCACCTCTTCACTGTCCACACCCACCTCGCCTTACTCATAGAAGCAGTACTAACAAAAACAAGCATTTCTTTTTTATAAATATGATATATGCTCATTATAAAACATTCAGATTGTGTAGGAAAATGTAAGGCAGGAGACAATAAAATCATCTCCAAATTCCACCATGCAGAAATGGTATTTATGTAGGTGATAGCCTTCTAGCTCTCATAGTTTTAGGAAAGATATGCTCTCATGAAATTCGTTAGTGTACACCTGTAATCCTAGCTATTCAGGATTCTGAGGCAGGAGCATCACAAGTTTGAGGCCAGCCTGGGCAATTTGGCAAGATTTTGTCTCAAAATTTTGAAAAAGGGATAGAGGGGTATAGTTCAGTGTTCCAAATATTCAATTAAAACATAAAATATAGGGAGGGAAATTTAATGTACAAATTTAAAATACTTTAATGAAAATGAGGCCATATTAGAGATATTATTTCTCTCGCTTTCTCTGAGACAGGGTCTCACTATGTAGCACAGGCTGGCCTCCAACTTGCAGTAATCCTCCTGTCTTAGCCTGGGATGAGTGCTGGGATTACAGAGAGGCACCATTATACCCAGCCCTAGAGAAGTTATATTTTGAAATAAAAGATATGAACTGTGGTTTAACAGAAGAAAAGCCTAAGAGAAGCCTGGAAAGCCTTGTTGTACTTCACATCTATTTTCTTTGCTAAATGACAGATTCATGTAAATGTAAAAGATTGTGAAGGCTAGTACAAGGTTGGAGTTAGTTTTTGATTATCTTTTTACTGTGATAATATACATGCAGAATTCTGTGTGCAATATATATCCAATTTAAAGAATAATACAAAGCCAAACCCCTGCGTAATCAGTGCTCAATGACATTAGGACAGTGGTGGTAACCTATGGCACATGTGCCGCAGCCAGCTGTTTGTTATTATTGAAAGCTCTTAAAGGTTCTAAAAGGTTCGCCATCACTGACATAGGGTACTGCAGCACCCCAGAGCCCCTCTGGGTGCTTCCGGTCACAGATCCTCTTGTCCTGCAAAGGAAACACTGTCCCCACTGCTGCCTTCCTTGCTGTGGTTTCACTGTGCACCCTTAAGCACTGTAGCTCCATTTGCTCTGTTTTTGGTGTTTAAAATAAATAGAATATTTTCTTTTGTGTTTTTTCTGACCTGTTTCTTTTATGACTTGCTCTTGAGATTCATCCATTGACAACACGGAAATTCTGGTCTATTATTCCCCTAATGTAAGAAGAATAAGCTATATTATTTATGAGACACAAGAAAGACACCAAAATACCTATTCAGTTTATTTTCCAACTATTGTAATTGTTATTTCCTAAATCTTTCTCAGACCCATTAGCCATCATGATCTTACTAACGTCCAATCCAGACAGCCTCTCTCATTTGCACAAATGTAGTGGGTTCTCACCTTGTCTCCTGGCCTCCATCAGTTTTACTACCTCTAATCCATTCTCCATACTGTGTCTGAAATAAAAATTTTTGAAATGTTTTATCTTCCCTACATACAAGAATTAAAAATATAATTGTCTTAGACATTGATACATAACAAACAACTTCAAAGTCTTAATGTCCTACTGCGGTGAGCATTAGTCTTTGTACTTAGGGTCTGTGAGTTGGTTAAGGCAGCTCCACCTCATGAGACTGGGCTCTGGCCCTAGGTTGAGTTCTGGTCTCCTCTATGTCCCCATGTTCTTGGATCAGCTTCTGCCTTATAGGACTTCAACAGGCCAAGCCAACTGTTAGAATTGTCCATCTATTAACATATTATTGGCTTAAGTTTCGTGGCCGAGCCCAACATCACTTAGTAGGGAAATATTCTCTCCCTACTCTTGTATACTGTGCAGTGACAAGGCTGAGGAAAGGGTGAAGATTTGAGAGCAATAATTCACCACAACAATTGTCAAGCAGCAGTACTTTTTATTCTTATATAGAGTGCTAATTTTTTTTTTTTTTTTTGGTGCGGGGATCGAACTCAGATCCTTCCACTTGTGCAGCAGGTGGCGAAACCACTGAGCCAAATCCCCGGGCCTAGATTGCTAATTTTTAAATTATTTTTATTTTTCTTATTTGACTGTGAATTCTCATTTAAAATATTGTATGAAATTCCAAAGAGGAAGATATGTAAAAAAATATAAGCAGTTGAATTTGATAACTTGATATACAATTCAAGGAATTCTGTGATTTGGAGCAATTTGATTTCATGTGACTTTCTATATCCAAATGAGACTATTCCTTTTTTCTTTTTCTTTTTCTTTTTTTTTTTTTGGTACCAGGGATCAAACTCAGGACCTTGTGCTTGCCAGGCAGGCGCTGTGCCGCTGAGCTATATCCCCAGCCCCGACACTATTTCTAAATGTAGCTCTTGAGAGTCTAGGAGCATGGAGGAAATAACCTGTTAAAAAAAATAGGATGTTGAACTATTCCTGGGTCCTCTTGACTCAGTATCAAGGTGACAACCTGGTTAACTTTGGCATTTGTTACCTGTATCTCTCAGCTAGGTACTGTTACCAGTGTCCTTGACCTAGAACAGATTTAACCAAAATATTCTAATGATGGCCTCTCCCTTTCTTGTTTTTGTTTTGCTCTGCTGTAGGACATAATGATTATATTTGTCCTGCTACAAATCAGTGTACCATAGATAAGAACCGGCGTAAAAGCTGCCAGGCCTGCCGACTGCGAAAGTGCTATGAAGTAGGAATGGTGAAGTGTGGTGAGTTCACTTCCTTTACTGTATGGGTCCATGCTGAAAGTTGTACCTTCTGAGGCACTTGGGACATGTAACCTGGGGAAGAGGAGATTGAGAATGTGGCTGTCGTCATCAAGTGTTTGTATGCTGTCACACTGCATTGACTTGCTCCCTGTAGCTGCAGATGACAGAGTTGGGGTGAGTGTGAGTGAGCTGCCAGAGGCAGACTCTGGTCCGTTGCAGGCAAGAATTTCATACAGTCCAAGTTGTCTAGCAACAGAATAGGGGACAACCATCTGCCTGGGACCTAGAGAAGTCCCTTCCAAGGATGAAATCCTGTTCCATAGTGTAAATATCCACAGCGTAAATATCCACAGCATAAGCTTGTGACCAGAAAGTAGAATAGCTTATGGGTTGCTTGGGCAGCTGTGGGGAGGACTGATGCCTGCCTACTAGCTTTCTACAAGTGGAAAAAAAAATATAAATGTGAGTCAGAGACATGATAGAACTATGAAAAGTACATACAGCATAGATTATGCTCTCTGATAGTGTGTATCTGTGTCATATCCATGTGTATATGACATAACACATACATATATGTCCATATATTTTATAGATACACATACATGGTAAAGAAGGAAAACATATTTGCTTTAGTATAAAGATTGACAAAGGTGCCCACACCCTGCTCTCTACTTGGCTAGCTTTTGGTTCATTTGTCAACTACACACTTGTTTTTTTATATGTATTCACATCAGCTTTGCCTGTGCTTTTCTTCTGCTAGCCAATATTTTGTCTGTGATTAGTTGTAGCTTCTCTCTTTGTAACTATTTGAAAAAATTCAAGCACTTCTCTTTTTTTCTCCGTTACCATCACCTAGTAGCTCTGCTTTTTGAACATTCTCTGGTCCTTTTTCTCTGGGTGTATAATAGATTAGAACTTTCACCTAATTCAGAAGTCCAGCTAAAGTTCTCTTAATTTGATCAACTTCTGGCTTTGCAAGAGTCACTGCCATTCTCCTTTTCTCTGTGGAACATCCTGCTGCTATAGTTTGGATTTTAAGTGTTCCCCAAAGATCAGGAGGTAAAAGCCTGCTCTTGTGGTGCTATTGGGATGGTGGAGCTTTAGGATGTGGGACTGAGTGGGAGGTCTTTAGGTCATTGGGGGTGTTCCTTTGGAGGGGATTTTAGAACCTTGTTTTTTCTCATTTTTTTTACTTCTCTGTCATGAGGTGAGCAGTTTTTTTGTTTTGTTTGTTTTTTGTTTTTGTTTTTTGGTACTGAGGATCGAACTCGGGACCTTGTGCTTTCAAACCAGGCAGTGGAACCACTGAGCTAAATCCCCGGCCCATGGTGAGCAGTTTTTCTTCCTGTCCATGTGCCTCTCAACATAGGTACTCCCACAGAACCTGAAAAGAATGGATTTGCCTGGTCAGGGCCTGCAACCTCCAAAACTGAGCCAAAATAAACTTTTTTCTTTATAAGTAATTGTCTCAGGTATTTGTTACAGTGACAGAAGGCTGACCAACACACTGGCAATGCCCATGACTTTCCAGTGTGTATTGGTTACTCTCTAAAACACTTGAATATTTCTGCCCTCACCACTTAAATCCTTCACAGAATCCAGTGAGGTTTTCCCCAGACCTTTTTCTAATTATTACACTCGCTACATTATATAATTTAATTTGAATTAATGAAATATGAAACACATGAAATATGAGTAGAAAATACAACTGTTTCCATGAACGCTTAGTTAAAAGTTTTGAATAAAACTGTAAAGGACTAAGAGGTATTGTGTTAGGTACAGGTGAGATTGAGGGGGAAATTATAAACCTAGAAAGGTTCACAATTCAGATTGCTCTATAAGTATCTAGGTTGTTACTCTCTTTAAAGAAGCTAAAACTAGAAATGCATCCTATCATGGATGGGAATCTACATAGAAATGTGACTTGTCTAATTGTCAGAGATGCTTAAATAGAAAGTCTTATAAATAAGGGCTTTTAAGTTAATGATTTAAGATGAGTATGTGAATATGTTTTTGAAAAATGATATCCAGCTTTGTGTAAGGGTAAGAGAGCATTTATTATACACGGATCTATATTCTCAGACAGCTGTGGCCCTTGTAAGGCAGCACTCGTGGTAGGAAGGTCCTGAGAGTTGGATTTTTGTAGATGCATCTCATTTTTGGTTCTTCACCTTTTGCTAAGTGTGGCTGTGCTCAAACTACTTAAGCTCTCTGGCTGTTGGTTTTCTTATATCTGAAACAGAGATATCTGCTCCATTGGTTTTTATGAGGAATATGTATGAAGACATATTGAAGTCCAGGCACAATGTCCCTTTCTCCATCTTAGTTTCCTTTCTTTCTCTCTCCTTCACGACAGAGCTCACATGAGTTATGATTTTGATAAAATGCAGTTTCACAAGATAAGAGAGAGTAAAGAATCTCTAAGGGAAATGGAACTAGAGAAAGGGTCATGTTTCTCCAAAATCACTGGGTGGGGTCTCTCAGGAAAAAAGATTATATTCTCCTTGGAGATTACAGAAGATATGATATGAGTTGATTTACATACAGTTGAATATTCAGCCCTTTGCTGACCACAGAGAAAGACCGTTAGATTTTAACTGTGTCTCCCTTCCTGGCACTCTCCTTGTCTACTCTTCCCTAAAACCGCCTAACCACATTTTTTCTTCTATTTGGTTTCGGAGTCTTAAGGATTTTGCCTGCATTCTGAATCCTCTTGCACCATCTACATCCCTCTTTATTCAAAAATCACTTCTCTTCTGTTACTTTTTCTTCTGTGATTCCAATCTTTTCTACTTGAAGTGCTGATGTGGTTGTTTAAATGGTAGGAGGACCTTATAAAGATACTCTGCACTGTACATAGCCAAGAAAACAGTTGGACTAGCCACATGTTTGGTCTGTGTCCCTGTGTTGAGGTGGTAGCTCTGCATCTTTTGGGTTCCATTTCTTTATCTGCTGTACATAATTCCAGGAAAGGGACTTGATAGATGGTATAAAATAATGGTTAAAAGCATGAGCTCTGGATTCAGCCTACTGTTTGGGTTTATTTAGATCCTGCCTCTACTATTTTCTAACTTCCTACCTTGGACAATTTATTTGTGCTCTCTTGTGTCTGGTTCTTCCTCTGTGTTGGAGATAGGAATAGCACCTGTCCTCTGGGGCAGTTGTAGGTGTGAGACAGGTGAGCTGCATGTGATTTGCAGTGCCTGGTATGGGGACACTGTTAGGTGATGTTAGCTTCCATTATTATCATTGAGTACCACCACCATGGTCATCATGTTTCGATTGGAGCTATTTCCCCATGTCTAATTGGATCACCTCTATTTGGCAGAGTGTCTCATTAAAATCTCACTCAGAGGTGCCTCGATTGCAGCGTCAAAGCCACAACATAGAAATGTCCTTGGTAGAAAAATAGGAGTTATCAAGGGTTTCTCTTGTTTGAGCCTAGAATCTCTAGAACTCCCTCACTACAAGGCCTGGGATATGAGACTTTGTCAGTAAAAGTTGTTCAAATAAATTTAAATATGTGGATTCAAAATCACTCACCTTGAGTATCTGTTTTTTTGTTGTTGTTTTTTGGTACTGGGGATCGAACTCGGGATCTTGCCCTTGTAATCCCCGGCCTGAGTATCTGTTTTTTAAATTCCTTTTCCCCATACACTATATAAAGAGAAATGTATGATCTGAAAACTGCTTTCTTAAACCACACATTTTGTTCCATTTTACCTGGGTGAGTGTAATTTGATGTTAAACACCTGTGGCCCTTTGCTTATTAATAAAATGAAATATAGTCTAAGCCAGTCATGGAGACCCTTTTAGAGCTTTCAGTGATACAAACAGCCTGCTGTGGCATGCTTGGCATAGTTTCACTGCCACTGGTAAGCTCTTGATTCCTTTAGTAATGTATTTGTTCAAAGTGTCCCTGAATAGATAGATCCTGTCCTTGTACTATAATTAGCCAAGGTTAAAAGGAAGTTCTGATGAAATTTCTTGAGAGTTAATAATTTCAGTTTTTTTTGTGGGGGGGGAAGGGGAAAGGAGAGGAATAAAGATATGCCATGTTCAGGAACCTGATAAACCCAATCAGTGTAAACATGATAAACCATAACATGTGCTAAAAAAAATAGTATCAACAGGTATGAAAAAGGTGATTGGGGAATTGGAGGAGGAGGGGGGTAGGAAAGGAGAAGGAGGTGAAAAAAAAAACCAAACTGTGATACGTACATGTAATCACTCCCCAAGATGATTGTAAACCACATGACTTACAAACATGTACTAATGAAATAAAATAAAGTGGAAAAAAATGTAAATGTTCTTATACCTTCTAGCTAATATTTCCTTTATAAAAAGGTAGACAGTTGTATTTAGTGAACAAACAATGATAGGAATATAAACACTGGGCATATTGTGGATTTTTACTTTTGGAGTTTTTTTTTTTAAGGGAAAATTAAAATTTATACACATGCTAATGATATCCTAACTATCCTAAGGTATTTTTTTACCCTTCATTTTACATTTTTATCTTTTAGTCAATGAGTGAAATATTTTTGGGCTTAAATTATAAGGGTATAGAAGTTACATTTTTATTGTTTATTTCTATTTTATTGTCATCACAGAAAATTATCTATAGGTCTTTTTTTTTTTTTTTTGAGATAGGGTCTCACTTTGTAGTATAGGTTGGCCTTGAACTCACTACTGTATGTAGCCCAGGCTGGCCTTAAATGAATTTTGTCTTTTGTTTATTATCATTATTTGTGTTCATTTTCTATTATCTTACTTTGTGCTTTAATAAATTTGATCATGGCCAGGCATAGTGGTGCATTCCTGAAATCTCAGCATTCAAGAGGCTGAGACAGAAGGATTGCAAGTTCAAGGCCACCTGGACTATAGAGCCAGACCCTGTCTCTAAATAAATGAATGAATGAATTTATCACATATTTCTATTTTTTTCCATGAAGAAGCTGATCAGTTTTACATGTTTCTTTTTCCTTTACTGCTAGTTTGGAAGGCATACATTGTTTAAATTCCTTTAGTGACATTTCTATTTTTAATGCACATTCTTGATTAATTTGAAAATCAAGCCTCTTTCTTACCAAATAAAGCAACTTGGAAAGTTCTAACCCAGGCTGGGGATTTAGCTCAGTGGTGCCACCACCTGCCTTGCAAGTGCAAGGTCCTGAGTTTGATCCCCAGTACCACAAAAAACAAAACAACAAAAAAAACAAAAAAGAAAGTTTTAACCCAAATCATTCCTGTCTCATTTTACATGTTATTATCTGTTTGTTTGTTTGTTTGTTTTTAGTACTGGGGATCAAACTCGGGTCCTTGTGCTTGCACAGCAGGCAGCAAAACCACTGAGCTAAATCCCCAGCCCCTATTATCTGGTATTTTTGTTCTACTTTGTTTCTTTATCTCCAAATCTAACTAGTGTTATCATTTTGTTCTTTCAATTTTTTTTTTGTACCGGGGATCGAACCCGGGATCTTGCGTTTGCGAGGCAGGCGCCGGAACCACTGAGCTAAATCCCCAGCCCTGTTCTTTCAATTTTTAAAATTTAATTTCATATTTACCAGTTTCTTTTCTTTTCTTTTTTTGTGGTACCGGGGATCAAACTCGGGTCCTTGTGCTTGCGCAGCAGGCGGTGAAACCAGTTAGCTAAATCCCTGGCCCACCAGTTTATTTTCTTATCCTTCTTGACCATCACTGTTTCTTTTGGGTTCAGTTTTCTCCATCCCAAAGGACACACTGTGGCTGTTAGTGATATGTCTTCTCAATCTTTGTTTAATGGAAAATATCCTTAATTCTCACATTTGGATAATAGGTTAGCTGGAAACATAACTCAAAATTCAGGGATTTTTTTCCCTTCAGCTCTGGCCCATTATGTTCTGCTCTGAGCCTACAGTAGCAAAAGCATTTTGGTACTAGCATAGGAACAGAAAATAGATCTATAAAACAGCATAGAATCTGGAAAAAGATATTTTATATATAAAGTTATTTATTAATGATAAAGCATTTTAAATCAGTGGAGGAAATTTATTCAGTAACTAGTATTGGGGAAATTGTACATTGGAGAATACAACAAAATATTAATAACACATAATACAAATATGCATAAAAGTCTAAACAGATTTGAGCCACACAGTGTTTATGAAGATAAAGAGTAATATTTGTATAATCTTTTTTTTAAGAGTAGGAAAAATTTATTGGGAGAAAGAAAGCCTCTGCCTAAGAGAGACAGGAGGGGGACTGGAAAGTGGGTCGCCCCTGTATAATCTCGATGTGAAACAAAAAGACAGATCTGAGTACGTATTAGAGCTTCTTTTGACAAAAATATCACAGGGAAAGTGAAAAGCCATATAGGAAGACACATATTATATCACAAAAATTATGTCATTACTATATAAAGAACCTTTACAGGTTTTAAGGGGGGGAGGAGGGGCCGTATAAGCCAATAGGCAATGCATAAATAAATACAAAAGGCAAATATTGGCTAATGTCACTAGTAATTTTAACAATACAAAGATAAGGCTGTTCAGTGACTCCTAAGGTTAGCAGAAGTTAAGAATGATTTTGGGGGGCTGGGGGTGTAGCTTAGTGGTAGAGCATTTGCCAAAGATATGTGAGGCCTTGGATTCATTCTCTCAGGGAAGGACGGGGAGAGACTGAGACTGAGATTGATTCTGATTTTTAATGCCCAGGGTAAGTTTTTAGATACTACTTTTGGTGGGCAAGCTGTCAATATTTATTAAAAATTTAAATATGTGTCTTGGTTTCAATAATTTGATCTCTGAATTTATGATGAGGGAGTTATTGGATACATGTGCAAAGATCTATTTTCATTGTAATATTTAAACTAGTAAAGAAATTATAGATTGAAATCAATGGAGGATCCTAAATAGATGCTCTACAAATAGAACAGAATGGTATAGAGTCTTAAATTATAGTGACATATTTTTAATAAAAAGAGAAGTGGATTATGAAATAGTATATGTACTGTGTCATGATTCTAATTATGTTTATAAAATATGGAAAAGTATAAAAACTCGAAGTATAAAAATATGGAAAAAGTATAAAAAAAGACTAAAAGAATTTGTGCTAGAATTCATTCTCTTCTATATTTTCTACATTTTTTGAATTTATTTGATGTATACTTGTTTATATGAGAACTCTAAAAATACATATATGTGTGTGTGTATGTGTATTCATGTAAGCATTTAAGAATATATTATAAAAATGTTTTATTTGATAGCTATCTGGAAATGTCGGTGTTGGAGTCCTAATTTTTCCCTCTTTTCTACCTGAAGATAATTCCTAATTTCACAGTTTAGAAATTGAAGCATGTTAGCAGTCTTTACGAGAAATGGTTTTAAAGTCTATAACTAACTTTGAAGAGGAGACCCTTCCCCCAAATTCTTAAAGTGTTATTTTGTTGATGTTGCCATACTGTAATAACTTTTAGTCCATGCTGCGCAGAAAATAAAACTGGGGGGCGCGGATTTAGTTCAGTGGTTCCGCCACCTGCCTTGCAAGCACAAGGTCCCGAGTTCAATCCCCAGTACCAAAAAACAAAACAAAACTGGAGCTTCTGTTCCCATACATGCCCTGAGAATGCACATCGGCCCTTGAGACCTCACTGTAGAGAGTATCATTGCTGCGTCTTCGTCCTGGCCACTCGGACTGGAGTCTGGGTCAGGAAGGACTCTCTCCTCATCTGCTCTTCCCTGTAGGCTCCCGGAGAGAAAGGTGTGGGTACCGAGTAGTGCGAAGACAGAGAAATCCCGGGGAGCAGCTGCACTGCCTGAGCAAGGCCAAGAAGCACGGCGCCCACGCGCCCCGAGCCAAGGACCTGCTGCTGAGCGCGCTGAGCCCGGAGCAGCTGGTGCTCACCCTGCTGGAGGCAGAGCCGCCCAACGTGCTGGTGAGCCGACCCAGCGCGCCCTTCACTGAGGCCTCCATGATGATGTCCCTCACCAAGCTGGCCGACAAGGAGTTGGTACACATGATCGGCTGGGCCAAGAAAATTCCCGGTAGGGCTCTTGGGCTCTTAGCATTCTATTGAGTCGTAGGAAGGCCTGCCCCTGCCATTCTGGGGGCAAGAGTATGAAATGGACATCCATGAACTTTGTCTAGATATTTAATAGTTTGACATCTTGGTTTGTAAGCTTAAGATAAAAGGCTTCTGTTTTTCTCCTTCAGTAAAGTATTCCATAAACACCATGAGCTAATCAACACTTTATTATAAATCAGGCTTTGTGCTAGATGGTTTTTACCCAGCTGTTATGCTAAGTGTCTTGAGCATGTGCAAGGTAGGTTAGACTAAGCTATGATATTTGGTAGGTTAGGTTTGTTAAATTCCTTTTTTTTTTTTTTTTTTTGGTACCGGGGATTGAACTCGGGACCTTGCGCTTGTGCGGCAGGTGCCGGAACCACTGAGCTAAATCCCTGGTCCTAAATTCCTTTTTTGAGATAGGGTCTCACTCTATTGGCTAGGCTAGCCTCAAATTTCTGGGCTCAAGTGATCCTCCTGCTTCAATTCATCCTCTCCAGTAACTGGACTGCAGACATTACCACTGTGCCTGGCTTTATATGTATTTTTTACTTATGGTATTTTCAACTTACTTTTAGCTTATCTTATTGTTTCCCTACTGTAAGTTGAGGAATATCGGCACCTAAAGTACTATATTGTGCTAAAATGACCAACCATCGTTTGAAGTGGAGTTTCTCTGAAAGAGCAATCCTAGAATTCTAACCTAGAAGGACAGTGTTCATCTAAGAAATGAAGTCTCTCTCTCCAGGCTCTCAGCCAAAAAATATTTCTGTGGCCTCAAGGGTACCGCCATTAAATGGGAGACTAAAAATTGGGTTGGTGAGAAGCTGGGTGAAGAGCTGAGGCCCTGGATGATAGTATTGCTTCCAGTCATTTGTTGGCCCAGGTCTATTCCTTCTGAGCTTTGAGGCTTTTCTTGTTTCCAGCTTTGTTTTGTCTAGCATCTTCACCTTTGTCAGAATTCTTTTATTTCTCTGCTGCTTCCCAGAGGAGAAAACACTGATGCACTTGCTCTGGTTTTTGCTTTAAATCTGTTCTAATCACTATTTTGCAGGATCCCACATGCAGAGTGGTAGTGAAATTAATTATCACTGAAAGCTGTGAGGCTCCTTTTTGATTTATCAAAACAGAATCTTGAAGCTGCATTAGTCCTTTTTGAAGCCTGATGTTTTGAAAGTTTTACAGAAAACTTAGGCATAGTCTTAAGGTGTGACCCCCCCGCCCCCCGCCACAGCTGACTTAGTCATTGTCCAAACCAAAGCAATATTAAAATGTCATCTAGTTTTGGTCTTTTTGAATATAAGAATAAAAGAGCTTGGCCTCTTGTAGGTAGGCTTAGTGTCTACGGGCGAGACGGGAATGTGTACACATTGGGAACCTGAACTAGACATAAGTCTGTGGCTTTGGGAAGGGTTGATCCAACTTGTAGTTATTACTCCATTAAATTCTCTTTTGTGCAGATTTGTAGTGTAATTGTTCAAAGACTTGAACCATGTGTGGTCTCTGTGCCATAGTCTTCTCATTGGTAAAATGAGTATAGTAAGAGATTCTACCTGTAGGAAATCCTCAGAGACAGGCAAGATTCCTTCATTTTTCCTATTTAAAAAACCCCCCAGATTTAAAAGGAGATTAAAGGCCTCTGTGTGTGTGTGTGTGTGTGTGTGTGTGTGTGGTAGCTCAGTGGTAGAGAACTTGCTAGTATAACTGAGGCCCTGGGTTCAATCCCCAGCACCACAAAGCAAAAAAACCCAAACAAACCCAAAAAGATATGAACTGCCTAGGAAGGGTATAGGCGACTTTCAAACTTGAGTCCATTTCACTGCAAGGCTGTGCCTTTGGGTACTGTAATATACTACAGTATATTACCTCCCTCTGCTCCATCATGGCTTATAGAAGAATCTCTAGGGTTCTGCTTTGCTTTAAAAATGCTCATCTCTTTGTTTATTTATTTTTTGAGTCAGGGTCTTGCTTTGTAGTTCAGGCTGGGCTTCAACTGACTATGTAGCCCAGGCTGGCCTCACACTTGCTCCTATCCTTCTGCCTCAGCCTCCCAAGTGCTGGGAATACAAGTGTGCATCACCACACTGGGCCAGAAAGAAAATGCTGACTTTCTTAGAGATTGTCTGTCTCATCCCAGTTCTGTGTCCAGTGCCTGATATTGGGCTCTCAGGACTTGCTTTGACTGTGACATTTGCTCTTTAGGATAGAATCACCTGGGGACAGTGCTTCTCCCTAGAAGAGTGATCCTCACCTGGATGGGAAATTCTTAAGCAATTCAAGAAATTATTTAGTCGAAGCCTTGACTTTCTGCAGGGTCTGGTGCTGCTCTCTATATCTACAACTTCCACCTCCCCCATCCACTTGGCCCACTTTCCAAACATGGGCTGGATCAGTCAGGCTGCTCCTCTGACTGACAGCTGAGCTTTATCATTTTCAACAATGCACAGGAATTATTAGGACATTATAGCTACCAAGGTTCAGTCTTGGCTTTCTGTTCTAGCATCTTCCTGGGGAGCTGAGGAGCCCAGGTAATCGTTCTTTATACATACAAAATAAAGTTTGTATCTAGGAGTCCAGGACTGGAAACTTCAAGTTGTATATTTTAAGTCCAGACACTTCTTCCTTTAAAAACTTACCATTTTGTCTTTACAGAAGTGGGTTGTGGAGGAGGAGGGCAGGTGTGTCTCATGGCCTCTTGCTTTCCCCAGGATTTGTGGAGCTCAGCCTGTTGGACCAAGTGCGGCTCTTGGAGAGCTGCTGGATGGAGGTGTTGATGGTGGGGCTGATGTGGCGCTCAATCGACCACCCTGGCAAGCTCATCTTTGCTCCAGACCTTGTTCTGGACAGGTGAGAAAAAAAATTCATTATGCTTCTTCTCTGACTTGTTTGAGTGAAGCACTTAGTGAGAACAAAGTCATGGGGGTAGCAATGAAAATGTCACACCCAAAAAGGGTGAGGGTGATGCTGATGATGAGGATGGTGATGTCCTCAGCTCCTTCCCTGGGTCCAGAACCCGAGAAGAAGAGAGCATGAACACAAGGACTCAGGGTCCTGTGATCCCTTCTAACCTATGGCATAGCATCGTGCACAGGCCAGGGCCGCAGAGAGGGAGTATGTCCTGCAGGGTCTGTGGCCACTAAGTACACAGTCAACCTAGAGTTTTCTGCATTACAAATTCCACTTCAGTTATAATCTTAAGTTGTCCTGCTGTTTTATTCTGCCTATAGCAGCCCATAATATCTCCAACTATCTGGACAGGTGACAAACTTCTTAAGAATCTGCCAAATTTATTTTCATGTGTTTTAATTCGCTCTAATGCATGTACTAGTAACAGCATTTTTTGAAATAATGTTGGAAGGAACGGTTGTTAAAGCCAGGTGAAGTCAACAGGAATTAAGCCATGACAGTGCTAATATCATAACTTGGTTGCATTTAGTTTTCTTTTAAAGATAGCACAGAGAAGGAACAAATTTTTAATTGACTTGGTCAAACTGGTTTTAGAGGGAAAATTGGAATATATAACAACATTCAAGCCTTTTTGCAAGAAAAATAGAAAATTCTTGGTGTATAGTTGGACAGTTTGGGAATCTCCATGGAAGGTGATTTCCACTTCCCCTTGTGTTGAAAAAGTACTGATGTCGAATGTTCAGCCACAGTTGACTCTGCACAGAGTGAGGAGGATGCCGGGTGCTGTGAGCCCAAAGTGCCTGCCCCAACTCTCGCATCGTAATCCTGTTACCACTTTAGGTCCTCAGAAGACCCTCATTCGCACGGCATGCAGATGAAGAATGATGCCTCAAGGTATCAGCACCCATTCTGCCTGTTGTCATGGATGACACTGACAAAGAGCACTGTTCTGAGTAATGGAGGTGTTTTGGTGGAGAACAGAGGAAGAGCAGAAGCGTGGGATGTGGCTTGAGCCAGGAGCAAGCCCAGGTGGTGGACCACAGAGGGACACTCTGGAAGCCCAGGGCGGGGCAGGGCCTCAGACCCTTCAGTAACAATCAGAATGGCTAAGTTACTGGTTGTATGTACCAGGCACCATCTAAGCACTTGCATTTGTTGACCCATTTAATCTTCACAGCATTCGTTTTGGGGTAAGCCCTTCTATCTTCCCTATTCTTCAGATGTGGACACATGAGGTTAGGTGACTAACCTACAGTAACAGAGTGGCAAGTGGTGGAGCTGACCTTGGGGAAGTGGCTGTGAGGTCTACACTTTTCTTTCTCCCTGATGCTGGAGATTGAACCTAGGGCCTTGTGTGTGCATGGTGCTGAGTTGTGTCTCCCACTTTATTAAAAAATCTTGCATCAGGAACTCTCCGAGCCACCCAGTCTGGCCTTGAACTTGTGGTCCTCCTGCTTCAGCCACCCCAGCCTCCCCACTAGCTAGGATTATGGGTGAGACTACCATGCCCCAGCTGAAGTCCGTCCACACTCTTCATGACAACAGCACACTGCCTCTCAGTAGGAGACAGAACTGGAGGGGAAAGAGGAGGCCAAAAGGCAAACCAACTTTCTACTTTTCTTTTGTCTTAGAACAGCTCTGTTCTATTTTTGCCCACTTCAAAAGCCTGCTGTTCCTGCTGTCATCTCAGGGTACCACGCTGCAAGGCAAGCTGAAAAGCCAAGTGCTCAGCCAAGCTATTGTCTTCATTCATTCATTCATTCATTCATTCTGTTCCACTTGATGATTGAAATAAGCCACATGCACCCTCACATACACACATATATGTATAAATATACACATCTAATTCTTCTACAAGTCGGGGCTAGAAAGATGTTCTGACTCTTGATGAGCCAATGAGTTTGCAGTTATTGAGATTAAATTACTTTTTGTCTTAATTTCTAAGTTAATGCCAAACAGTGCTTATTTTCAGTGACTTTCATTTCTGGTTTTCATTACCATTAACTTTTCCCTTTCTCTGTATGGGTTCCTTAATTCCTTGTGTTTAAATTGTGTGTTTAAGTTACTATAAATGGACTCCGATCCTGGATAAATGGTATGCCTCCCTGGTAGGTAACAGGAGAAAAAAGTTTTTAATAGATTCATATTACTCTATAAATATTTGAAACTGTTATGGCTTATAACATATAAATTTAGTATATTTTACTGAATGTAGAAGAGTTTTGTAAATGCATTTACATTGGGCAGGTGTTTTCTTTTGTTTTGGTTTTGATTATTATGTTCCTTTTGAGACAGGATCTCACTATGTAGTCCAGGCTGGCTTTGAACTTGGAGATTCTCCTGCCTCATCCTCCTCAGTGCTGGGATTACAGGTGTACACCACCACACCTGACAACAGCAGGGTTTTTTTTCTTTTGGAGTGCCCACTGGTATTTATTTTTTGTTGCTATCTTAGTAGTAGAAGAATATTAATTTTGTGGAGTCTAGAGTTTCAAATTTAAGGTAATTTACTTAATGTGTCTCATATAGATAAATATATTTTTGTGTGTAACCAGTATGTTCCTGGAGGAGTTGCTTATTCTATAAGGGGCTCTATTATAAATTTTTTTATAAAGTAAATAATCTTCATACTACTTTTGGGCTGGGGATTTAGCTCAGTGGTTTCGCTGCCTCCTGCGCAAGTGCAAGGATCTGAGTTCGATCTCCAGTACCCCCCAAAAATAAACCTGCTTTTGCTGGATTTTCCTACTAGAATTCCTTTATGTGGTGGTAAAATCATATAAGCAGTGAATTCAACTAAGTTAGCACATTAGTGGTTACTGAGACAACAGCTTCTATTTCCCATTCTTCTTTTTTTTTTTTTGAAAGAGGGTCTCACTACGATGTAGTTCAGAGTGGCCTTGAACTTGCTTCATAGCCTAGGCCTGAACTTGTGGCAATCCTCCTGCCTCGGCCTCCGAAGTGTTGGGATTACAGGCTCCATTATTTTTTTTTTTGGTACTGGGAATCAAACTCGGGTCCTTGCGCTTGCACAGCAGGCGGCGAAACCACTGAGCTAAATCCCCGGCCTATGGCTCCATTATTCTTGTTGAGGCTTCTGCAGAAGAAAAACTTGAACCTGCTGAAGATGAGAAGGAAATACAATTATTTCAAACAGTCTAGTTCTTCCAAAATCATAAATTGATATGAAGATTTACCACAGAACCTGAACTTTTACTTAAAAAATCTTAACTGGTTGTGGTAGCACATACCTGTAATCCCAGCACTCTAAGAGGCTGTGAAGCAGGAGAATCATGAGTTTGAGCCCAGTCTTGGCAACATAGTGACTTAGTGAGACCCTGTCTCAAAATAAAAAAGAAAATGAAGGGACAGGGATGTAGCTCAGTGCAGAAGCCCTGTGTTCAGTCCTCAGTATTGGAAAAGAAAAGCATAAACAACTGGGCAGTGACTCATGCCTGAAATCCAAGCTACTTGGGAGGCTGAAGCAGGAGGATAGCAAGTTCAAGGCCAGCATGGTCAACTTTGTGACTTAGCAAAGACCCTGTCTCAAAAAAAGGGGGTGATGTAGAGTGCTTGCCTTGCATGCATATGAGGCTCGGGGTTTAACCTAAGTACCCCGCCACACACAAAAAACCTTCTATACTAAGACATTTTTGTATCAGAAAGTTGTCTACTGCTAAATGTTACTAAAATGTTAGAGAAAGTTTGAACTGGGGCCTGAACCCTATTGTGGATGTTTATGGGAGTTCCTTAGAATCAAATGATTGTGAATGTTCTGAGTTTGCACATACATTTGCATTCACATGTTTAATTTTCTTCAAGGTAGCTATTAGAATTTTCGTTTCTAAATTTTGTCACCAAGTAATTTCACATCACTTCAATATTTATTAAGTCCTTTCCTGTGAGTCCCCTGCCCTTGCCCACCTGTCATACACACAGCAAATACAGCAGATACACATGTAGGTACAAAATAGTGTACCCCAAATAGGGCCCGCTCATTCCATGTTGTTTTGTTCTACCAAACAGGACAGTTTTTTTAATCAAAGAAAGAAAGATAAGTCATAAGATATTCCACAGGTAATTATAGTTTTAATTTTTATTTGTACTGATTTATGGACAGATGGTATGCAGAAAGTGAATTTCCATGAGCAGGTTAGTTTGATTGGCATGTTGTTGCAATATTTTAACTTTGAAATCATATATTCTCTCTCTTTAATTCAAATCTTGTCCTTCTGTCCTAATTTCTCTCTTATAACTCAGTTTCAACCCATAACTGTAAGTGAAATAGATTTCCTCAAATTTTTAAGGTCCCTCCTCCCTTTGTTCTTTATAAACTCTTGTTAAGGTAGAACTTTATTAGACTGCCATTTATGAGGTTCTGTACTTTAGTGCCCCCTATATTTATCATTTATTTTCTAAAAATTATTTGCTTTCCACAGCCTATAAAGTTAATAAAATATTCTAACCTTGCCACAGTTTGAAGGCAGAGGTTGTCTGTCACACCCGCTAAGGGAAGCAGTCAGACTTGGGTCTTCCGGTAGGGTTGGATTGTGGTGGTGAATCTAAGGCACACGTGCCTCAGCGGGCACACTGAGCCCTCTGTTGGCATGGAAGCCAAGTCACCCCAGCAGCCAAGCCTCAGACAACAGTTGTTTTTTCTAAACTAAAACGTTAGTATTCAGATTTAATTGCAGCGTTGGCACTTTGCAATGAATAAGTGGGTTTTAGGTTGCAGTTTGGGCAGTCCGTCTTCAAAAGTTTCGCCATCAGTGGTTTTAGAAGTTCACTTTTTCTATGAGGTACATATGCTGATCACTGTGAATTCAGTAGGGCTTCAGATGGCCCAGTAAACTCTCTCTCCATTTTTGAACTACGAATTATTATTTAAAATTGCATTTATTTAATGAGGAAATGACACTGATCTCAGTATGTAGGGACTATTCTTGGCACAGGCAGTAACTTCTGGAAAGTAGAGTTGGTCTCAGATGCATCCCACTGCTGACTTTGAGTCTCACAGAAGGGCTTGGAGTCAAACTATCAAACCATCAATACAGGAGTTGGTGGGGTTTTTGATTTTGTCTCTATGTGATATTTTATGGTAAGCTTTTCTCAGTACCGTATGTTCTCAAGCTCAGCAGTTACACTTTCTAGTAATTAATTGGAGAGATTTGATCTGGCAGCATGAGGGGCATTCAGTGGACAGGTGTTTCCTGTGCACCTGCTATGTATGTGCAGGGCTGGTGTCCTCCTTACTGAAGCCCAGAGCTCTCTTTCCCCGGGGCTCTTATTCTCTTCTTCTTATTTTTCTTTGTGAGTGGCTTCTAGGGGTCCCTGGTGTTTTGTCAGTTAACCTGTATGCGTTCAGAAAGCTGTCTGTTTGCAGAAGCTACCATGCTGATTTGCGAAAGTAAGCAATTTTCATGATTGCAGCCCTGTAGAGGTGAGTCTGCAGGGTTGTGAAGGCTGTGGAGTGCAGGATCCTGGGGAGCTGCCATCCTAGCTGAGCACCTAGCGGGAGAGAGCTCCCCAAGACTGTTGGTACCTAGCGGCATCAGTTCATCTGAATTCTGCAAGGCTGTCCCCCAAATCCATGGTCACTGGGAATGTGCTGGCTGGGGGTTGTGCGAGGGGGAGAGGAACAGATGGTTCTTTGGAGACCTTATGCTCTCTTCAGGGGCAGCTAAAGAGACCAAAAATGAGATCCAAGAAACCCCCTGCCGCCAGGAGTGCCCTTCACTCTGCACTGCAGGTTTTCAGAAGCAGTGAGGGTTTTGTGGCAGAATCACCAGCCTCTTGTCAAGGACCTCCAGTAACTTTTAATTGATAATAATAGAAGTTTTTTGAGACCAGTGAGGTGGAATAATGTGTCTGGGTAGAGTGAATAAAAGCCAGTATTTTTTAGATAAAGTAAAATAATTTACTTCAAAGGTATACTTAAAAATTCATTTCTGTAAGGAGTGCTCTAAAGAACTTTGATTGTATAGTTCAAAGTTGTGTCTAAAACATTTGCCTAAAAATAAAAGTCTTCAACCTGGGTGTGGAGGCGTGTGGCTGTAGTCCCACCTATGTGGGAAGCTCAGACAGGAGGATTCCTTGATCCTTAGGAATTCAAGACCAGCTTGGGCACCATAGCAAGGACCCATGTCTTTCTCTTTCTCTCTCTGTCTCTCTCTGTCTCTCTCTGTCTCTCTCTGTCTCTCTCTGTCTCTCTCTGTCTCTCTCTGTCTCTCTCTCTCTCTCTCTCTCTCTCTCTCTCTCTCTCTCTCTCTCTCTCTCACACACACACACACACACACACACACACATCTTCAGCAGATCAAAAGTTTCTGTGTCCCTATATTTACCTTTTCCTGACTAACCCATCTTCAATTGTGATTTCTTTGTAGGTCACACTCACTTATTTCAAATTACATTTAGGTGTCTCTTAGTTGCTACATGACCACCAGGAAGTGAGAATGAAGACCTAGACGGAAGGTTTATTCTTGGGGTATTTGCTTCTGTACTTGATCAGTCTTCCTCCTAAACACTTCCTGAGGGAACATGGAATGCTCATGTTAGTAGCATGGGTTGTATTTAGCTAGGGCTGGTGGACTGAAATGGTTTAGATTGAAAATAAGCAACAGTAGTGATACTCCTTTGTGAAAACATTTGGTGAGGAGGTAGAAGGAAAAATACAGTTTTGAGATATACTTGTGCCTAAATATTGATTTGAATGTTTATGCCAAGGATTTATAGGAAATGCCTTTAAAATTTTTTTTTTTTTTGGTATTGGGGATCAAACTCGGGTCCTTGGGCTTGCGAGACAGGCGGCAGAACCACTGAGCTAAATCCCCAGCCCTAAATTTTTTTTTTTTTGGTACCGGGGATTGAACTTGGGAACTTGCAAGGCAGGCGGCGGAACCACTGAGCTAAATCCCTGGCCCTCCAGCCCTAAATTTTTATTTATCTTTTGTAATGCTGGGGATTGAATGTGTGAGGCAAGTGCTCTGCTGCTGAGCTGTGCCCCCAGCCCACCTTAGCTTCTTTAGATGAAGACGGTTCTAGTAACTTCTCTTGTTAGCTATGGCCTTATTAATCCCTCATCATAGTCAAAGGATGTACAAGGTGAAATTTGAGACTGAAAAGAAAAATGCTCCTAGTTGCTTTTGATGGTTCCCTGAAGCTGTGTGTTCTTTAAATTTCTAAATGAACTTTTGTAGGGATGAGGGGAAATGCGTAGAAGGAATTCTGGAAATCTTTGACATGCTCCTGGCAACAACTTCAAGGTTTCGTGAGCTAAAACTCCAGTACAAAGAATATCTGTGCGTCAAGGCCATGATCCTGCTCAACTCCAGTAAGTAACTGCCCAGCGAGGCTGCGTTGTGTGTGGGAGATACTGTCCCTATAGAGCCGGTGTGATATGAGGACAAGCACTAAACTTCTGTTTTATTTTAAAAGGGGAGGATGGCTTCCTTTCTAACTTCTGTTTTATTCTTAATAGGGATTTAAACTGTAGAGAACTTTTGGTAACACACATACATTATTCATCAGCAGAATGCCAGGCAGCCGATTTAAAAAGTGGTTCATTTTCCTGCCTGGCAAGTGCAAGGTCCTGAGTTCAATCCCCAGTACCGGAAAAAAAAAAAAAAAAAAAGGAAAAATAGTGGTTCATTTAAAAAAAGAAATTTAAAGTGTTTACCCTTCAACCTTTTTTTAAAGGCTTTGATGGAGATTTTTCGTGGTTGACATGCATCTGTATTTAATGTTTTGGGTGCTGCGTTTACAGATTGATTCATGCATTCATTCAGTAAAGACACTGAAGATGCAGTCCAATCCTCCAGTAGCTCATAGTGAATGGAGAGAGAGGAAGAAAGCAAATCATAAAAAACGTCCCATTTTGGTGCTGTGCTGAAGTACAGAGAACTGCAGGAGAGCAGAAGGAGGGGAGTGCTAGAGGGGTTGCAGGAGGCGCGGTGTTTGAAGGGGTCTTGGGGAACCCGAGGGGGTGGACAGCTGCAGCGGGCAGCGCTGAAGGGTGCAGATGGCTGCTTTGGGCACAGAGGAGGCCCAGCAGAGGTGCAGACTGGGAGGTGGTGTGCACTAGAGAAAGGTCGCCCCACTTCCACGCAGAGGGCTGACGGACAGGGGAGCAGCTGAGGCCAAGTCCTTAAGAAATATCAGGAGCCTGAGGGAGGGACCTGACTTCAGAGGTGGGACGGAAGGAAGGAAGGTGGGAAATAAGGATGTTTTTTCTTACTATGTAAATAATACTTGGCCTTTGTGAACATTCAAAAGAAAACCATACAAGGAAGAATTTACAAATTATCAGGAATACCTTTTTTCAAGACAACCAACACAACTTCAGTTATCATAGTTAACACGCCCCTCTGTTTCTCTCCCTCTCTCTCTCCTTCCCCTGCAGTTGTTCCTCACTATCTGTGGGGTACTGGTTCTAGGGCTCCCAATACCAACATCCATGGATGCTCCAGTGCCTTCTATAATGTGGTGTGTTACAGTATTTGAATATACCCTATGTAGGGCCGGGGATTTAGCTCAGTGGTTCCGCTGCCTGTCCCACAAGTGCAAGGACCCGAGTTCGATCCCCAGTACCCAAAAAAAGAAAAAAAGGAATATACCCTATGTATATCCTCTCATATACTTTAAATCATTTCTAGATTACTTACCATACTTAATACAATGTGAATGCTGTACACATAGTTGCTATATTGTATTATTTAAGGAATAATGACCAAAAAAGTTTATATATGTTGAGTACAAATGGCAGTGTTTTTTCTGAATATTTCTGATACAAAAGAAAATCAAAATTGATTAAATCTGTGGATGTGGAACCCCTGGCTACAGAGAGCTAACTGTATGCACAGGGTTATGGTTTGAGTAGAAAATGTTCCCAAATGCTCGTGGCTTTTTGGGAAGTGACTGCAGCACGAATGCCCTAACTTAATGGAGTTGAATAACCCATGGAGAGGTTCCTCAGTTGAATGGGCTCACTGGGAGGTGGGGCCTTGGAGAAGGCCGGTCACTGGGGGAGGGGGTGGTTTTCAGGCTGTGTTTTGTCCTGTGTGCTTCCTCTCCCAGGGCTCACTGCTCTCTCCCTGCATTCTGGCTGCTCTGAGGTGAGCAGCTTTCCTCCTCCACACCCTTCTGCCATGATATTTCTGCCTCACCTCAGGCCTAAGAGTAAATGGAGCCAGTTGACCATAAACTAAAATCTCTGAACCCATGAGCCAAAGTAAATCTTTGTTTCTCTAATTTGACTTTCCTAGGTATTCCCCGTGTTTTATTATGTGACAGACACAAAGCTGACTAAGACACATGTGCTGCTGTGTATACACAAACAATTATAGCATGTTACATTCAAAATTGTGGGCATTTTGCAGGAGACTTTTTTGTTTGCCCTTTATCCCTCCTGTCCAACACCAAGCAACCAATCCTTTTTTTTTTTCCTTAAGTTCTTTTATTGGTACATTTTAGGTATACAGTATGTTTACATTTATCTTTGGGTGCTTGTAACTGTAAATGATGTATCTTGGTTCTTATTTTTTCCCCATTCCCTGTGCACCCTTCTCTCCCTCCACCCTTCCCTATTTGCAAAGACTTTATTTCCATTTTTTCCTTTTCTCATCATTTTTCCTTTCCCCTTCCCCTCCCGCCACCCCACCCCTTTGGACCTTTTCTTCCTATTTGAAATTATCAATTATTCATTTTAATCATTTTAATCCTTATTTACATTTGCAGTTTCTCACACTAGAGAAACTATTTGGTATTTACACGTGTGTCCTATTTATTTCACAAAGCAACCAATCTTTTTTTTTTTTTTTTGTACCAGGCATTGAACTCAGGTCCTTGTGCTTGTGCAGCAGGCGGCGAAACCACTGAGCTAAATCCCTGGCCAAAGCAACCAATCTTAACAGCTGGATGGTAGACATCACACCTTCTTCTATCCTCCTATAATTGTTTAAAACAATATCTCACCTAGGTTCTGAGGGTATAGCTCAGTAAGTGACAGAGCACTTTCCTAGCACACTCAAGGGCCTGGGTTTGACCCCTGGCACCACCACCACAACAAAAAGCAAAATCATACCTTCCTTTTAATTTATGCACAAACAGGGTTTCATTTTTTCTTTTTTAAAAATTAGGACACTATATACAAGTATGTCTCTGTTTCTTGCTTTTTAACTTTTAATAATGCTGTGAAATCCCTTTAGGCCAACAAAGAAAGATCTAATTCAATCTATGAGGTGAAGGCATTGCACTAAGTTGTTCAACCATTTATCTGTTGATGGGCCTTTAATATCCAGTTCTTTCAGGGCCGGGGATTTAGCTCAGTGGAACTGAGTTCGATCCCCGGTACCAAAAAAAAAAAAATCCAGTTCTTTTAAATTTTATCATTATAAGAATTATTGCAATAAATAGAGATGCCGGGGCCGGGCATTTAGCTCAGTGGTTCCAGCGCCTGCCTCACAAGCGCAATGTCCTGAGTTCCATCTCCGGCAGCCCCCCCCCCCCAATAAATAAATAAATAAATAAATAAAGATGGCTTGTTTTGTGCACATTTCAGATGATGGCATGCTGGTGGCTTTTAAATCAGCCAAAGCAGCTCCTCCTAAAGCCCAAATTCGGTGCAGAGCCTGGATGTTCCCAGGTCGTAAGCTGCCTCCTGGCCCAGGGGCAGCTGACCGCCTCCTCCCCCACCCCTGCCTCTACCTTTCCTCTGGAACAGACTCTTGCACATTGGCACTAGTTTTCATGAAAGGAAAGTGAACAATACCGGGCAGTGTTTCCTCAATCAGTAGGGAAGTTTTTTGTTTTTTTTAAAAAAAATTTCCAAATTGTTACAGACAACTACTCACCCCTTACCTGCCATGGGACCTGAACCCAAGGACTTCTACATGCTTGGCAAGCACTGAGCTACACACCCAGCCCAAAATAGCTGCTTTTTTTTTGTTACAGGTCTCGCTTTGTAGTTCAGGCTATGTAGTCCAGGCTGGCCTTGAACTTGTGGCAGTCCTCCTGCCTCAGCCTCCTGAGTGCTAGGATTATAGACACGTACCACCATGCTTGGCTCAAGATAACTACTTTTTATAAAATGTAATAAAAATAAATTACTGCAAAAATAAGTGCAAAATATCAGCCCCAGCTTATAATATTATTATATTACCACTATTACATTCAGCTGATTTTTTCGGTACTGGGGTTTGAACTCAAGACCTTCCGCTTGCCAGGCAGGCGCAGTTCTGCTGAGCTACATCCCCAGCCTGCATTCAGAGCTGGTTTCAAATTACTCTCAATTGATAAAAGAGTTTCTAAATACTTACACTCAATTTCTACTGTCTCTCGGAGGACTGGTGACAGGACATACTTTGAGAGGCTCTTACAAAATAATAAGAGGACCCAGGTTGCATTGAGTTGATGTGCCTATAGGAAATGTCCAGCCAGAATATTTGCAATTGTGGAAGAAAATGTTTTTTGCTCTGTTTTCCAACCTGCCTATAGATGGTTAGCACCTGTGTGCACTGCCATTTCTGTCTTTGTGCTTTCAAGCAAATCTCCATTTTAACATTCTCATCTACTAATGGAGGCCCATCAGATTCCAGATTGTAGGGCTTCTCTTACTTCAGAAATCATTTAGAAGTCTTTCCTGTGCCACAGAGTGCTCCTTGGAAAGCAGTTTGCTTGTTGTTGCACCACTTTACAGTAAAAAGAGTTCTGTGTGACAAGACTCCTTAGGGTGAGCTGAGCCCTCGAAACATCATACTATGTTGTTGTGAAAGCCAGAAGCAGCATCTGTGGGGACAGGAGAGATGGAGGTCTAAGGTTCCTCCTGCAGCTTCTAATGAAAGTGCCACAGTAAGAGATTTATAGGAGCAAGAGAGGCATGGCACATGTGGTAACCTGTGGCAGCAAATGACTAAAATTTGTTTATGATATATCCAGATTTAAAAAAATCTTCTTTTAAGAAAGTTTCTTGCTTGCTTGGTAGTTATAACAGTTGTCCAAATGAATTTCTTTGGTACAACATTGCTGTGAGGAAAATGAGATTCTGTTTCTATTAAAAAGTCCCCACTAGGGCTAGGGATTTAGCTCAGTGGTTTCGCCACCTGCTGCGCAAATGCAGGGACCTAAGTTTGATCCCCAGGACCAAAAAAAAAAAGTCCCCACTGGGTTGGGGATTTAGCTTCAGTGGCACAGCACCTGCCTGGCAAGCACAAGGTCCTGAGTTCAGTTTCTGTACCAAAAAATATCCACTGTCAGAAGAGGTGAGTCTTTTCTATGCTAGATTCTGAGGATTTGCAGTAATCTTCTGGATTGTTTTTAGCACCTAAGCTAACAACA